GTGCTCTCGCTGATTAGAAAGCACTTCTATAGTTTGGGAACTCTAATCCGCTCTTATCAACCCTCCGGCTTCGTCATTTATCAGGGTGGGAATGAGAGGTACATCAGCTATGCCCAGAGTGATTTCTGGGGCCCCTGCCCACGAAGCAGCAGATCAAAAAGGAGCTCATGCCTGCCAGAGTGAAGCTTTCGCCATAGCAACACATGTTATTCTACAAACAGTCAGGACTAAGGCGCTCTGTTGTGACCGGTCTGGACAGTGCCCCCACGAAATGAGCGACTGAGGGTTCAGACAACAGAGCCAGCGAGAGAAGGGTGGTACCTATTTAACTTGCGGGGCTGTCTCCTTGTGGTTCTTACTTCCCTGCAAAGCTGACGGTGGCAGCCCTAAGACCCGCCGGTACCCACGGCCCATGTTCTGATAAGAGGGATGTCGCAGGGAAAGCAGATTTGCTCCGTGGAGCAGCCACACCACAAGGTTCTGTGGGAAGGGAGGGTGCTGGGGTAGAGATCGGTCCATCTGGACAATAGATGGCGAGCACTGGGGCACTCGGGGGAAAGGTCTCCATCTCAAAACGTGTCATCTCTACAACAAAATGCAGTCAGGATGCCCAGTGAGTGGAAGGCTAACTCACAGACCCAACACGAAGCCAACAGCAATAGTCATCAGCGGAGTTGTTGAGACCATCTATTAAGTACCCACGTGCTGGGTATTTCTAACGCCACTTTTCTGAATATAACATTTTTGCCGAGGAAAAAAATAGGAATGACCAGTGTGTCCTTACATCCCATAGGATAGGGTTACATCTGAGGCTTGGCCAGTAGAAAAATGCAGCTGCAAATTTTTGCTCTGCTGCTCAAATCACTGAGCCATGCACGTAGAAATGTAGAAATCCAACCACAGCACAAGGGTGCTCAAGACAATAAGTGACACCTCCTCTCGGTTTCCTCTGACTAACTTCTCTAGAACACCATTCATGGATTACGTCAAAGGCTACAGTGGGAGATTCGTAAAATCAGGAACTATAAAAACAGGCAAACAGGCCAGGCTCGGTGGCTCACGCCTGTAATCCTAGCACTCTGGAAGGCAGAGGCGGGAGGATTGCTCAAGGTCAGGAGTTTGAAACCAGCCTGAGCAAGAACGAGACCCCTTCTCTACTAAAAACAGAAGAAATTAATTGGCCAACTAAAAATATATAGAAAAAAAATTAGCCGGGCACGGTGGCGCATGCCTGTAGTCCCAGCTACTTGGGAGGCTGAGGCAGGAGGATCGCCTGAGCCCAGGAGTTTGAGGCTGCTGTGAGCTAGGCTGACGCCACGGCACTCTAGACCGGGCAACAGAGTGAGACTCCGTCTTAAAAAAAAAAAAAAAGAAAAAACAGGCAAAGAAACTTCTTAAACAGCTCATGGTAGGTTGGTCAAAGAAAGATGACCCACGTCCACAGATATATGTCTGTGCCATTTATATACATCTTTCTATCAACACAACAGATGCAGAATTGTTTTATGATGCCAACATTTCAGCTTACAATGCCTACAGGTATGTCTGGGAGGATGTGAATTGCTGCCATGGAACCTACGGCCCGGCAGGCTGTGCCACAGTAGGCTCCCACTGCATACACTGCAAACATTTCATCCTGACAACTCAATCACAGCATCAGGAGCAGGGAGAAAAGGTAGAAAAGGTAGATCTGCCACATCTATCTCCAAAACAATTAAAAAGCACAAACCAGCCACTATCAGGAACTCCTCTGGGGCCTAAACCCTTAAGTCATCACAGACCAGACAGAAACCAAACCAACAAATGACAGGCTCAGAATTTTCGAAACATTTCATTGCAGCTGCAGAGACTGTAAATGAGCTTAAAAAAAAAAAGTTTCTGTCTCGAAATGACATTTTAAAGGTAGTATATAAATCGCTTCCTCTCTCTTCCATGCACCCCATTTTATTCCTCATTCTCTATTTGCTAAGTTTTTTTCTTCCCCTGCCTGTTTCAGTTGGAAACGTGGCACAGAACGGGACGCTGGAAGGCGAGGGGGGGCTACTTTCAAATCTGACACACACACCCCGACCAGCCGCCCACACCCTGAATGATGGTCAGGCCAGACTCCACCTAAGAAAGGACTGAAGGACCAACAGCTGAGTAGAAAACTCCCCTTGTGCCTCCTCTCCCGAAAGCAGAGTGAAGAAAGAAAAAGCTGGAAAGGAAGGAGGGGGGAAATAAAGTTCCACATTCCTGACATTTTTTAGCCAAGTGCTGTGGCTGCACAGAGCAGCTCCTCTATTCCAGGCAGCCTATATAGGATGGGGAGAAAACCTGGGTGCAGGAAAAGAACCTGCCCCTGCCTTGGAAACAGGATGGCCCAGAACTAAACTAAAAGTGAGGCGGTGGGGTGGGTTGGGTGGGCTGGGGAGGAGACAGTCCTATTACATGTGTGTTCCCAAATGGAAGTGATCCCAAGGGAAGGAATTTAGGGTCATCGTCTCCCTGGGGACAGAGAACTAATGTCCCGGGGTCCCAGAGGAGGAAAGGAAAGCCCCCTGCATGCTGAAGAGGTGACCAGTGCATCGGGGAGGAGCAAGGCAAGCATGACGTGGAGATGTTAGGGCTGCGGGTGAGGGCTGGGGACAGAGGGACCCAGCTCACTGGCAGAGGCCAGGCAGGGGACCCCAGAGGGAGGAGTGGCCAGGGGGGCCACTCTTTGTGGGAAGAATTACAACTGGGTTTTCCTGGCTCAGCTTCTGAATGAAGGAATCCCAGCCTGGCCCAGGTCAGAACCTCAAGGGCCTAAAATCCTCTCTCCCTTTCTCCTTCTCCTTCCGCTTGCACCTCCTTTCGTCCTCACTTCTCAGAAGTGTCACATCCCGATCTGCACCGCCCGCCACACCATATGCATCCCTACGTACCCAGTACCCACGCATACCCGCCACGCACCTCCAGGGAGGACCCAGAGGAGCCCGAGTAACATCTAGGAAGTCCTGTGCTAGGTTATGAAGCGACTCCCCCCGTTTTACTGGTAGTTTGTGAAGTTGCCCACATTTGTTTCTCTGAGTGCCCTGGAAGTATCCAGATGTTTTTGCTCTTTGCCTGGAAGCATCCAGATGTTTTTGCTCTCGTTTGGTAGGGGCAGCAGACTTCCACACACTCCCCCCCTCACCACCACCACCACCACCACCACCACCACCACCAGGAATACCTAGCTCTGTGAAGAGTTGGTCAGCAGGTGTAGACAGCGAGGCCCTACCACATGCCTAGCACAGAAGAACACAAGACTGGAGGTTTGGGGCAAAGCTCTTTACCTCTCAGACCAGCACAGACTGCCTGTCCCCATACAAAGCTGCTCTGAGAGGAGGTTATGCCTGCCCTGCTAGCCCTGCGGGTCTGAGAGGTGGTGGGGTTGGTGGGAAGAGGTGGCCCACACGTGTTTCAACCAGGCCCATGCCACACACTCCAGTCCAACCCTAAGGGAGAGGGGGCGTTGTTCTGTTTGTTTTTCTCACCTTGGGCCTTTCTCCTCCATCAGGTACCGGGAGTAAGAGCTCCTAGCACCGTTCCACTCCCAGAGTGGCGGGTTTCATGCACAGGACTTTCCCCAAGACTAGAGGCCGGGAGGGAAAGAGGAACCAAGCTCAAACGCTAGGCAGCCGTTTCTGAGCAAAGATAAAGCAGGTAGAGCCGCAAACCTCAGCGAATGCTAGAAATACAACAGAGAGAGCCACAGGCTATATAAGAAACTTGGCCGCTGCAGAGCATGTGGCTTTGAGGTTTACAGCTGTCATATGTGTCTTTCCAGCCACACCCTCCAAGACTGGAGACATGGCAGTGGGAGGCCTCTTAGAACAGAGGATGGCAAATAGGCAGCAGGGTCCTGGCTGGGCAAAACAAATTCTCTGTTATTTCGTGGAGCTATTATTACGATAAATAACAACGGGGCTCCAGGAGCAGGAGGCTGGTCTGCATGTTGGTAGGAGATGGTATAGCTTTTTTTGCTGATGGGATCTCAGTTAAACCTTACCATTGCCCCGTGAGAAAGACGTTTTACGAACCTCTTTAATGACGGGGAAACTGAGACTGTAGGCAGTTTTCAGTCCGACTAGTGACAGAGTATGAACTGGAACACAGGGATGACCCTGCCTTGGAGGAGCCCTATTCATTTGGGATACCACCAGAGAGAACTGTGGGAGTAGGAGGAAAGAGAGAGGGACTGGACTAAAGGAACACTACCAAAACGCGGAGTGGAGACCCAGATCCTCGTCCCAGGTTTATTTCCCACAGACCCCAGCCAGGGACACGCTCACATAGCCAACCCCGACTCAGCCACCACAAGAACGCGTCCCCAGCTTGAGGGCAGCTTCACCAGCCAAGTAGGACCCCTGTCATCTCGTAGAGACAGGGAACCAAGAGGCAGAGGGGCAAGGAAGGAGAAATTAGGCACCAAGGAATCCTCCATCTCCAGGGAAGTTTATAAATGGTTACAGCGTCCTAACCCAACCCTGAGAATGTAGATAAGCAACCCTACCCAGAAGGGAGGACAAGGAGATGTCTCAGAGGAGCCAGAGGAGACCATGGTGAGGGCGAGGGGAGTGTCATTCACATATCTCGCTTTTGAGACAAGATATACCGCAGCAAACCCATACTCAGTTCCCTCCAGTTCTTCCCACTTTTGAATATCACATCTTTCTCACTCTGCAAGACTAAGGAGTCCTTCCCATCAGCCCCCTTGGATTCTGACCCTTGCTGGCTAACCAAAACTTCCTGTTGTGGGAGGCCTGCACAGGGCACTGCTGTCAGGGTTGGATCCCATCCTCTGCCCCCCCCCACCCCTACTCTATAAGAGGATCACCTTTCCCCTAAAAGCAGAAGATACCCCTGTCTGTCTCCTTGCCCCTATAAAGGGGGTGAAGCACCACAGACGGATATTAAGGCACAGTCCACAGATTGATAAAAGGTATCCAAAAACTGGTCCTTTAGGCCAGAACAAAAAAAAAAAAAAAGAGGGAGCAAGAGAAGAGCAGAAGGCCACTGCTGGGATGGGGCCAGGGCCACACGTGAACACCCCAGCACGTTCCAGAGTTGAGGATGCAAACACCCACAAAATCAGATGGGAAGTGGAAAAGGGTCAGGGTTCCTCCCACTGGAAGAGCCCAGAAGAGCTAGTGGTCACCACTGCGGGGGGGTTAGGGGGGTTGTGCAATGACTGCGAGTCTGGGAGTCTCTGGGCTTGGCTCCCGGACGCCAGAAAGGAAACCCCACGCGTCAGGCCAGGGTGGCAGTGCGGCAGTTGGTTCGAGGCCAGGCTTGGGTTTAAGGGCTGCAGAAGGAGCTGCAGGATAAGGTGGGTGCCCAAGGGGGCGGCAGAGCATGGCACGGCTGGCGCGGCGCGGAGCTGGGGGTGCTGCCTGCGCTGACCCGGGCAGGGGCCGGGGGGCACAGCGCACAAAGCAGGGGGGAAGGGGGTACCGTGCACAAAGCCCGGGTGCAGATAACGTACATGGCAGCCAGGTTCCCCAGCCCAGACGAGGACCCCGGGGGGACCTGCAGGGGTACGCCGGGCGGGCGGCGCACGAGAGGGGGCAGTGCCCGTCCCTCCAGCACCCCTCTCCCCAGCCCGTCTCACCTCGAACATAAGCCCGATGAGGACGCAGAGCACCAGGCAGAAGCCGATGTCCGCATGGTTGTGGATGACGAACTCCTGGCTGAAGAGCGGGTAACTTTTCGTCCTCCTGCGGAAAGCCATGGCAGCGGGCGCGCAGCGGCCGGCCGGGCCCGCACCCTGCGCTCACGAGCCGCCGCGCAAACTTCCCCAGCCCCGGCCCGGTCCGCCCGCCGGCCCGCCGCCCGCTCGCCCAGCCGCCCGCCCGCCCAGCGCGGAAACTTCTGGCCCGCCTTCCTCGCGCCCCGCCCCGCCGCCGGAACCGCTCCGCCGCGGCCCTCCGCACCGGCGGCCGCACTCGGCGCGCGCCCGCCCCCCGCGCGCTTAACCTCTCGCCGCGGGCGCGCGCGGCGGCGGTCCTGCTCGCCCCGCGCCCGCGCCGCGCCCGGCCGCATTCCCGGCGCCCGGGGCTCGGCCGCCTCCCGCGCCGAGAGAGCAGGCCGGGGGAGGAGGCGGACGCCCGGGCCTGTCCGGACAGGAAGTGGGCCCGGGTTCCCCACTCGTCGCGCCTCGCTCTTTCCTCCGCGGGAAGGGAAGAGCCGGGAGGCCGCGGGCCGGCCCAGGGGCGGGGTGGGCCGGGCGGCCGGGTCTTCCCGGGGTCGCGGGCCCTGGCCCTGTGGTGCTAGGCGCGGCGCGGTTCGGTGGAGCCGGGGAAGCCGCGGGCCGGCCTTCTCGCTGGCCACAGCGCCCTGCTCGGAGGGCAGATGAATGGGTGGTTAATCGAGTATTTACGGAGGAGTTGCCGTGGGCTGGCTAGGCACGGCTCAGGTCGCCCTGAGTGCCCAGCAGACAAAAGACTGGGCCCCGGGGGAGCTCCGTTCCCATGGGGGAAAGTGGGTGGACGACTGCAGCTTTGCCCTCTTCACTTTGGGAATCCTCCTGCTGCCCTAAGTTAGTTTTACACGTCTCACCCAAAGTCTACCTGCAATATTCATTGATAGGAAGAAGCGGAAGACTAAACACAGAAGGCTAAAAAAAAGGAACCTTCTCATTGAAAGTTTTCATTTAAGTCTTAAAAGTGCTCCTGGAAGGACAAAAGGTCTTTTTAATAAACTAATTTATATTCGCAAATATTGGATTTAATCCTACCAGTAATGAAGGAGTCAACTAATCACTTTCTAGATGCACAGAAATGCGAAATGAACAAAGAACTATTTAATTCCCATTCCCTTTATTATTAGGTCCACAGTTACTTCACTTCTAAGTAAATATGATTTCTTAAAACTGTCACAGTGTGGAAATGAGATTGAGACTGGATGGAGTTCCTGAGAAATTTTCCTTCGTAAGTTTGCGCACTTCAGTATTTAGCAGAGTCTTGGGTCTTTAATTTTCTTATCTGACTGTCAAGGAAATGAATAAATCATGCCTGTATTGGGCTAAACCTCATTTAACTTCAAGACTGGCCTGCCTTAACACATTGACTGCCATGTGAGTTGTATTTAATTCATGCTACTTTTGAACCCGAGGCCATGTGAAGCATATGTAACTCACGTCTCTTCACCTTGGGAGCCCCTTGAACTATTTTGCAAGTTGCATATAACTTTCCCACACAAAACAATAAAAATAAATATTCATTAAATTATGAAGGATCATTTTTTCCAAGTTTTTATTCTATTTTCAGAATAAAACACCACGGCCCCAAGGAAAAAAATTTTTTTCTGGTGTGGCAGTCAATGTGTTAATATGGACCTTAGTCTTGTGAAAAACAAAAAGATCAAGAACTCCGGAGCACCTCAATTTTTCTCTGTGAAGATATGTTAAAATTTCAACCTGCAGCCACATCTATTAGATTGAACCCTATGAGATTGGTTTCCTTATAGGTCAAAACTGTGGAACACCAGTGTATCAGATGGTTGAACCTAACAATTCCCCCATATTTCCCCCTGGCTATTTGTAGAGGGTATTGTGATGGGAATTTCCTGCAAAAGGTAGGATGTTGTCAAGCTCTTTTTTTTTTTTTTTTTTTTTAGACAGAATCTTACTCTGTTGCCCAGACTAGAGTGCTCTGGTGTCAGCCCAGCTCACAGCAACCAAACTCCTGGGCTCAAGCAATCCTTCTGCCTCAGCCTCAGGAGTAGCTGGGACTACAGGCATGTGCCACCATGCCTGGCTAATTTTTTTCTATATATTTTTAGTTGGCCAATTAATTTTTTTCTATTTTTAGTAGAGATGAGATCTCGCTCTTGCTCAGGCTGGTTTTGAACTCTTGACCTCAATCAATCCGACCGCCTCAGCCTCCCAGAGTGCTAGGATTACAGGCGTGAGCCACCACACCCAGCCTAGCTCTTAACATTTAGTTTAGGCAGAGAGTCCTGGGAGAATGGTGAGGTATTGTAACTTCCACGTGTAGAAATGAGAAGCCTAAAGTGAAGGGGATGGATTAGACAGTGCTCATACTGCTGACTGCCAACCCTGGACCCTTTGAAGAACAGTTAAACAATTAGACATAGGGTTCTTAGATGCATGGTTTGAAACCCTGTGGAGGAAGTACTGGATGCCTAACCTCAGCCATCAGAGGCATCTCTAAGTCCTGGTTTCCAAAACCATCTTGAACCTCAAATAGATCTCTTCCCAACCCCTCTCATCCAGTTATAGAGTCCTATGAATTCTTACCTCAAAATCTCTCCCACCAACTCCCATTGCACCATTCTACACATGGCTCATGCTAATTAGCCATGGATCTCCCTGCCTCCAATGTCTCCCCCTTTAATGTCCATTCCATTAGAAGAGTCCATGGAGCACCTACTAAGCGCCAGACACAGTGCTAGTTACTGGGGACAGAAAGATAAGACAAACCATGGGTGGTAGTTTTAAAATGCAATGGTGTTATATGCTGAAAAATGCATCATTAGGCAATTTCAATGTTGTGTGAACCTCATAGAGTGTACTTATACAAACCTAGATGGCATAGCCTACTACACACCTGGGCTATATGGCATAGTCTGTTGCTCCTAGGCTACACACCTGTACAGCATGTTACTGCGCTAAATACTGTAGGCATTTGTAACACAATGATAAGTGTGTGTCTAAACATTTAAAAGGTACAGTAAAAATAAGGTATAAAGGATAAAAAATGGTACACCTCTTTAGGGCACTTACCATGAATGGATCTTGCAGGACTGGAAGTTGCTCTGGGTGAGTCAGTGAGTGAGTGGTGAGTGAATATGAAGGCCAAAGACATTACTGTATGCTATGTAGACTTTATAAACACTGTATACTTAAGCTATACTCAATTTATTTAAATTTTTTCTTCAATATTAAATTTATCTTACATCACTGTAACTTTTACTTTATAAACTTTTAATTTTTTTAACTTTTTGATTCATGTAACACTTAGCTTAAAACACGAACACATTGTACGGGTGTACAAAAATATTTTCCTTCTTTATATCCTATAAGCTTTTTCTATTTAAAAAAATTTTTTACTTTTTAAACTTTTTTGTTAAAAACTAAGACATAAGCACACACATTAGCCTAGGCCTACAGAGGGTCAGGATCATCATCACTGTCTTCTACCTCTACATCTTGTCCCACCTGAGGGTCTTCAGGGACAATAACACACATGGTGCTGTCATCTCCTATGAGAACAATGCCTTCTTCTGGATACCTCCTGAAGGACCTGCCTGAGGCTGTTTTACAGTTAACTTTTTTTTTAAAAAAGTAGAAGGGGTAGCTTCTAAAATAATGATAAAAAGTATAGTATAATAGATACATAAGCCAGTAACATAGTCATTTATGATCATTATCAAGTACTATGTCCTGATATAATTATATGTGCTATACTTTTATATGACTGGCAGAACAGTAGGTTAGTTTACACCAGCTTCACAACAAACATGTGAGTAATGTGTTGCGCTGTGACTACAATGTCACTAGGCAATAAGGATTTTTAGCTCCATGATAATCTTATGGGACCACTGTCATTTATGCAGTTCACCATTGACCAAAACTTTGTCATGTGGCATGTGACCGTATGTCCTCAAATTCTTTGGTACTTTTCCCTTCAAGAGGTGGCCATTCATTCCTCTCCCCCTGAGTGTGGGCTAGACTTAGCGGCTGACTTCTGACAAATAGAATATGGCATAAGTGATAGTGTGTAACTTCCAAGATAATTCATGAAAGGCATTTTAGGTCTTTTCTTTCTCTCCCTTTTGGATCACTTGCCCTGGGGCATGCCAGCTGTCATATTGAGAGGATACTCACAGTCTTATGGAGGGGTCTGCATGGCAGGGAGCTAAAGCCTCCTGCCAACAACCAGCACTAACTTGCCAGGTATGTGAGTGAGCCACCTTGGAAGGAGATTCTCCGGCCCCAGTCAAGCCCTCAGATGAATGCACACACACACCCATAGACCCCTTGACTATGACCCTGAGCCAGAACCCGCCAGGTGAGCTACTCCTAAATTTCTGACCCACACCAACTGTGAGATAATAAACATATACTGTTTTAAGCCACTAAATCTTGTTGTAAGTTGCTATACAGCAAAAGGTAATTTAACACCACACTGCTGGAGCTTATAATATTTTAGAAGAGACAGAGGCATCATTATAATTCAGAGAGAGAATGGTGATTCTAAGAACAATTTGAAATATGTACACTATGAGCACAAAGAAAAGGTAACTTCATTCTGTCTGGGGTATAGGGAAGAGGACATTTGGTCTGCACCTTTACCTTACAGAGATTTTATTGACAGAGAATGCAGAAGAGCAGTGGAAGATGAATTTGGAGGGTTAAGATGGAGCTGGATTGTAACAGATTTTTGAATGCCATAATAAGAATTGTCACTTTATTCTGCAAACGATGAATGGGAAGTTTTTAAGCATGACCAGATCTGTCTTTAGAGGAGAACTATCAGTAATATGGAAAATCATTCCAATTTAAACAGAGTGGTGTCAGGGAGACCACTTCGGAAACTGTTATTAATATAACAATCCAGTAAAGAAATGAGCACTTCTCAAATGATAGTAGAAATAAGAATAAAAGAGAGATGAATTATTTCAGAAACATTTCAAGGATTCATTAACCGGATTTAGTGACTGACTACATATAAGACTACGTCAGGGAGTTAAATGAGTCAAAATTTTATCCTGGGATGACAAGATGATGGTGGGACCATTACAAAAGATACATGGAACAAGAGATAAAGAGCAGGTTTAAGAGAGGAGAAGAAGGCGGCCTCATCTGTGAAGAAGCCGAGCCCAAGGATGCATGGAACATCCATGGAACATGCAAACCGACACTTTTGACAATTCAGT